TTTCAAAAACAGATAGCTACACCTAAATTTCAGTTTGTTTGTTTTAGTATGCTTGAAAGAAGAATTATAACAATGTCTGGAAATGAATTTGGATTCTGAATAGGTCTTACATTGCTAACAAGCTTCTCAACTGTCGCCTGCAAATAATTTTTGTATTTTGTTCTTAACATGACAGTGATTCCATTCATCTGCTCCCCAAATAATGACTTCTTGTCTCCAGTGAGAGGCAGACAGGATGCCCATGACTTCAAGACCTCCTCTATTCTACAGTGCAAAACATCTAGTACTCTCTTGATGGTGTTCAGAAAAATTCCCAACTGGCACAGAAAACAATATCAATAAGATGTATATGCACATAAAGATACAGGGCAACAGTTTTATTCGTTACTGGCTAAAATAGACCTGACTTTAATAACACAAGCATTCTCTATAGCCCTATGTGACTTAAAAAGCTACAAAATACCATGTAAACATGTAATGGTGTACTTACTTGATTGGGAACGGTATAGAGTGTTGTCAACTGCCTTCTTGTCAGCTTCTGGACGTGCATATTAAGTCTCTTTGGAATGCTATCTTTCAGAGGGGTCAAGATGTCATTATATTGCTTCTCCAGTGCTTTCACAATTGCTCTCTCCACATTGGCAACAGCCTTAAGATGAGGACATGAAGCAGTCATCAATTTAAGGAGAGGGATGTATGGAACTCACATTAGAATCCCAACAAGGAGTGTGCATGTAAACATTTTTCGCAAAACATGCACTCTTATTGACACATGTTAACAAATACACACATACAAAGCTGGAGGCTGAGAAAGTGCAGATGGATCTTTGAAGATGAATACTCACATTTTCCAACTCCAAGGAGTACTGAGGCCAACGATTGATCACTACTTCATACTCTACAAGATAATCTTTGATTTTTTCATACATTTCCTCAGCAAAAGGCGAAGTGGAATAATTAGTTGTTACTCCAGACCACGGAACCTACAAGAAGTTGCTTCTGATCAGAGGGCAAACTCTATACTGCATTGATGTAATTAATTAACTACTTAATTACATCAACGCATGTTCAAGCCTTGGCATCTTTTTTCTTTTGGTGTAGAAAGTGAGGAACACATGTACATTCACACATGTGTGCACCAACATGCATGGAGAGTTCTTTTACAAAGTAAAATTTAAATTACATCAATAGATGAAATTACGCATTTTCATGAGTATGCAACAAAGACCAAGAAATACCTTTTCGGCTTTGCAAAGATCAAGTAATTTAAGCTGCATATCCTCTACCCACACTGTTATGTAATCATGAAACAAACTCCTTGACTCTACACCACCCTGTACTGCACTGAAAAAAATAAGGAGCACGTCAGACAAAAATCTTCAAGTTGTATATTAAATCATAATCTGGGTGTCATCTAGGTATACAATTTAGCAAGCTTTTAAATTTTTTGTTTGGTTGGATTGAAGGTAGAGATTGTTGGCAGCGGTATGGGCTTGGCGGTGGATGGGAGATTGAGGTATGTTTTGCTTATGGAAGGACCAACAGTTGGTGGGTGGGGTGGGTTATCTACTCTCCTTAGAAGCTAGCAATTTCAGAGGGATTTTCCAGTAGCTTCAACTGCTCAATAGGATAATCCTTCTACCTAGGTAGCTCTGTCTTTGCTCCTATAGCAAATTGCTTTTAATCCTTGGTTGCACATGACTCTCTATACTATACTGTCTAGATTCATCATAGACATAATTTTAAGTCTGTAGCTAGTGTTGTTGGTTATGCTTCAGTTTTAAGCTATAGTGCCATCATATAGAGATTTTGATGTAATCTCATTTACTTTTAATAAAAGCTCTATTTTCAATTAGGAAAAAGAACATATTGTAGCACTCACCAAGAGAGATTTCAGACAAGAGACTTCTTTCACAAACCTGATATTCCATGACTCAAGATCTCTCTCAAAATCAGTAATTGCTATCAATAGTTCATTGACATGAAGTTGGGGACTAGATGGAGGCCATGCAGCAAGGAAACCTCTAAGTCTGTTACACAACTCAGTGCTGTAAACGGCAGCTGTGATGTTTGACAAGTAAATTGAACTGGAACAGAAGCAATTGTGTTAGAAGATATGTGATACTATCAGAGTGTACAACACATTGACTTTTATCAATAATAAATTTTCATAACTCCAAAATCTAGTTTAATTTGTAAGCAGTCATTGATTTATCTAAATCCAGACAATGCACAAAGAGAAAATGAATGTAAAATGAATTGCCTTTTTCTCAATTTTCAGATTTCATGAGCAACTGGAATGTAAGATCCATATTTCTCCCACATTAGTTCCTAAACCTCCATTCTTCAATATAACTTTTCCATAAAATAAAATTTCCATATACCTTGGGAGTATGTGTTGATTGTGAATCTTGATGTCTGCCTGAATCTCTTTGCCAATATTTATACACAGGTTCTTCATCTTTAAATAAGCAGTTGAAATGGTAATGGAGTCCATAAGGAAACCTTCAGAGTTGCCTGATACAAACTCATCCGTCTCAATCATGTGCTTTTGACACCTTATCCTTGCTGCTGTCTGTAAAAAAGTTATCATCAATTCAAACTACATGTTTCTCAATGTATCAGAACAAAATGTGGAAGAGACAAGGAAAGGCTGTGCTTATTGCTTGCATGGACAAAATGTTAAAAACATATATTTCAATTCTGCCTTCAGTTCCGCAGAAATTCATTCTCCATAGATATTTTACTAATCTTGCACCTTGTTATTGCAGTCAAAAAGTTGTTTCTTTCCTCTTAACGCTTGAATTAATATTTCTTCTTCATTTTCTGTGTTTTAAGTGGGAAAAATCCTGCATATCTGGACTTAAAATGCAATGTTGAATAGTACACCTATTACCAGTTAGTTTTAGGTGGCCTGTGGTTGTGAGTTCATGTTGTGACTGTGAGGCTGCATGTTAACTGGAAAAATCTCACAACAGTAATTAAAGAGGAACCTATGGACTTAAATACGATGTTACACTATGGAAGTCACACATTAATATTTATTTGTATTCATATCTAGTTTTAAAGTTGATGAATCCATAATTTCTCTAAAAATTGTAGGTTTCTTTAAGAAAATGGATCTCTTATTCATCCTTCATTGTGCAAAATAGTTAGAAAGCTTATCAAAGTAACACATGCAATTCTGGCCAACAAACTGAAGTTACCTGAAAATAGTTTCTCAGTGTATTCTGAGCTTCAGGAGATAGTATGTCATGAAGGAGGATGTATGTTTCAACAGCAGGTACCAGAGCTGGTGTTGTAGTCTCTTGTGTAGGGCCCAGCACATCTGCTAGTCCCGTAGGAGATTTTTCATCCAATGATTTGTAGTTCTCAAAAGCAGTTGCCAAGAGACTCTCAATTTGTGTTTCACAATCCAACAGTATACTTTTCTGTAAGAGAACATATCATGAGCCATTTCCAGTTAGCATGTGCATAAATCATATAGATATTCTTGGAAATATAGATTGGACATATTTATGAACATTTGTAATATAGACTGCATTGAAGGGAAGTAAATGGTTTTTTGGTTGGCTAGAAGGGAAGTAAATGCATGCACGTCTACAGTAATATGTAGATATTCAGTTTTTTTAATAGCAATATCAAGATATTCAGTTTCAGTAAACAAATTGTATTGGTGGGTATGTGCTACTATTCCATGATATAATAATAATAGGGAAGACTGCACATTTTATAACCATTGATGGAGGGGGCGCTACCCCAATATTTGGAGCCTGCCTCTTTCAATGGTTATAACTTATCAGATGTGCAGTCCACGCAGGGTGGGCTACACATCACTTTTTTGTAATAATAATAATAATATAAAAATGTTTATCAACCAAACCTACAAAAAAAATAGTGGGAAAAACACCCCAAAACTATATCATTTCTATAGATTCCCCGAAAAAAAAAAAAAAAAAAAAAAAAATCCTAGTTTTAAAACATTTTCTCATTGTGCTTTATTGAAACAACATAATTTTAAGTATTTTCTTACCTAATTTTTTTGCAAGTCCAATTGAACATTAATTTCTAATGATAATAATAATAATAAGAAGCTGTGGATGACATATTTTCTCAAAATTTTTTTGAGAATTAGGAAATGATGCACTGGAGGCATCTCTAAATGAATTTCATAATGTAGTTGGGCTTCCATGGATGCCAAGTTTGTTCTAATGTATACCTCCTGTCTAGTTAAGTTCTTTTCACTTTTCGCCTTTAAAATGGGTACAAGCAACTCATTGACGAGCTCTAAGCAGTCTTTTGTTGGAGTTGCCACATTCATCACATGTATGAGATATCTACAAAAAGCCCAAGATAAGTCAAAACATTGCAAGGTAAATATGAGGAGCATGATGTAATTATAAGATTATCTTCACATTGTTACAAGTACCTCAGTTTTGTATATGAATCAGAAACTCCATAGTAATCTGCAAACTCAGCCAACAACCACTGCCAATGTCCTTGCAACCTCAAGTTTCGGGAATGAAAATTCTGTGCATGCATTGCAGCCTCCAGCAAGAGATCATAGGCTAGAGTCTCCACAACAGGTCCACCCTGCACCATATCAACACAAATGATAAGATCCTTTGATTATAGTGTACAACCACAGACACACATCCAGGGATGCATACTCATGCATAAAGAAATCACTCCAAACACTAAAAGAAATACTTTGAAACAGACACATCTTTAGTTAAGTCCCCTTAGCACGGGAAAGAAAGGACAGATCAGATTCCACATATTGTGGATCAAGTGGTTTAAGCCAAAGTTCAGGAAGTGAAACCTTTATCTGACTAGTCTCATCACAAGTAATGGTACTACCACCAATAGACAGCTGGATCTTCCCGATGCATTCTTGGTCATCATGGTATATGGGCCACCATCGAATTCTGTCATTCTGCACAATTTCCACATTCACATCAAATTATGCTGGATTACACATTCCTTAAAAGGACCTTACACAAGAAGGTAAGAAGAATACATACTGGATTATCTATTAGTGATGAAACTGGTATTGTGGTGCGACCTTGGACTGATTTCTTTTTGTCCTGGACTTCTACCAAAAGAGCATCACCTTTAGTCTCTGGGAAGCTGAAATTATTCAGAGAGAAGTTTTCCTCACAATCCAGAGCATATTTTATACATCTCCAAAGATAAATCTACTCCCATGGTTTAGAATAGCTTATGTCTGAAACTCTATGGCATTTCAAATACCAATTTAAGTATGCATTTAAGCATGCATAGATCAAATAAATCAAAAGGTTCAATGGTCTCAAGGTCTAATCTCTTATCTATAATCCATACTATTGCTAAATATTTATAATTTTAAGCCAGTTCAGCTGCAGGTCCACCGTTATAAGCAAATTCTCTCAACATGTTTTCTCTAGCGGCCACCAAATAGACAACTGCTTGAGATAATAAAAATTAAGAATAGAAACTTACAACACATTGTAATCCCCATTTCCTGGGTGCAAGCAGATGGCAGAACTAGGTTCAAGTTGTGTTTCTTCTGTGGCACTCTTTAACTGAAAGAAGCATAAAAATGACTCTGCAAACATAAATATAGGATTTTGATTTTGTTTTTCCACCAGAAACTTAAGGTAATGAAGATTCTAAGAATTACATAGTTTAATTTTCTGTATGAAGCAAGAACTATAATGGAAAGCATAAACTCTTATCTCCTAGTTTGATCCTTTGCACATTGTCACATTGGGAAAGTCATAACAAGGCTTCTCATAAGGATTTTGTTAAGTATGCTCAACTTCAAAATTGAGAAGGCTAACAGTTAAGACATAATGCAAAGTCCTATTATTGGTGGTAGTTTCACGCAATGTGAGGTTTTTTGAAGCTTAGATAAAGTATCAGAGATTCAAAAGTTGTCATGATGAACACAAACCTGCTGATGTCACTGAAAATGAGGCTAGTTTAAGAGAATTAATGCCACTTTTCAGTAATGATGACATGTGTTGGACATACTCCGCCCCCACTTGCATGTACATTGCACTTCGCTGTGAATAGGTGCTCTTAAGTTTTCGCCTTGGAATTATTCGGATTTTCCTCACTGCAATTAGCCAACATTAAAACTTCAGTCTCAATGGAAAAAAGGCAGGTGCAATCCTATTCATCTTGGATAGCAAGTGTAATAATATGTAGTATGTTTGGGGAGGTACAGATGTTCCTCTGCCATCATTTATTTACTCAAGGTGCAAATAATGTAACACAAAGGAATTTGAGACCATCAGAGTTAATAACAGATAAGCATTATTCTTCTTTTCTTTTCTTTATTTATTTATTTACTTATTTATATGGAACTAATAAACATTGGTTGAGCATAGAATGAAGGGTAATTCTACTAAAAAGAAAAGATAAATGCAAACCCAACCTTTCCTTCCAAACATGTAGAGCATCTCACCTTCAACTCTTATCTTTCCAACAACCTTTTTTGCTTTCGAAGAGGTAACTGGTTCTGCACTTGTAGTAGCGCTCACTTCTACAGGCTGCACACCTCGTGGTTGCAACAAAAACTTGTGTAGCCTAGTAATTAGATAAACGTGGGATGACCCCAGTCAGGCTTGAAAACCAGTTGTAAACATAAAGGGATACAATTTCTCTAAATATTGTACTAATCAAATTTAAGATCACAAAAATACAAGGAAAGGGGAAGACTACCCAAAGGCACTTCGGAGAAGAAGGCACTCATCCCTCAGAAACTCAGGGGCCTCAGTGCAGCCCCTTGCCCATGCATGTAAGCATAACCGGATGCAAGCATCATAAGCAATTAGAGTCTGCCAGGCATACTGACCACTGCAACAATTGAACTGGTGGTTAGTAAAGAAGAATATAAAAATGAGTTGTCAAGTTAAAATGATACAAACAATCTACTTGTTAGTATTTAGAAATAAATAAAGATTGCACCTGGTGTTATAAGATGTGTTGCTTTGCCAATAAGGGATCTTTTCTTCTATTCCTTGGTTTTTCGTTTTGATCACTCTTCACGAGACATCAATAAATTCAGAAAAAAATGCTTAAAATTAAAAATAAAGCCAACTTGATAATGAATTGTGCTTAATGAAGCTGAAAATGGATTACCTTTCTTTACCAAGTTCTGCAACATTTGATGAATGCAGTTTCGTCTCTGCCAAATGCTCCTTACACCCTCCGTTAAAACTCTCCGATTCCCTAGGCCGGCATAGTCCATCATCAACTTGCTTGCTTACTTTATCAATCTCAAAGCCATTAGTCTCTCTTTCAATTTCCATAATAGGAGGTGCACTTGGTGTCCCCAAATCTTCGATTCCTCTGAGAATACTCATGCCATGACCGGGAATACCCTAAATTAAAATAATCACCAACAGTATCAAGCAGTAATCAAAATCAAATTCGTTCAACAGAAAACATAAATCTTTACAATGCTCTTACACTTAGGGTTTGCATTTGAACTTGTTCGAGAAGCCTACCGCTACTACCAACTCCAGGAGTCAGATTTTCTGGGGCAAATTTTCTGATACCCAAACCACCATCAGTGAGTCTTCGGTTACCATCTGGCATCTCAACCCTCAAGTTCTCCTTCGAGAACCATCTATTCAACTTTGTGCTAGGCTTTGGCGCAAACATCTCTCCTGTACTATTGGGTATGTCCAATAAACCATCACTCCTTGGCCCTGAAATGTCTATTTCTTCTTCATCAACACCAGAGAAATTGTAACTACCACCGACGTCATCAGAGATCGAGCCAATGCTTTCATCGCCATCGTCGTCTAGGCAAGGTGTCATTAAGCTCTGAGGTGCAAGCAAGCCGGAGTGGAATCTGAGAGGAGGCAACGCATGGGGAGACAGATAACTTCTGCTTTTGTATGCAAGAGGAGATACATGAAATTGTTCATGAGGAGATAATTTCTCCATTAATGGGGATCTAACTGGTTCCCTCTCCTGCTGATTTCGTTAAAAATGAAAGAAGGGTCAGTATCTACAATATAGAATTCGCATAAGGCATAACATCACAATATTAACAATATTGAATCTAAAATTAGTAAAGTAAAACCAAAACAAATGCATGCTTGAAAGAACAGAGAAAACCTGCTTAACCCAGTTGATAGCTGATTCGTCCAAGCCTTCTGTAAACATGTTTAAGCTCTCACTTTCTGGGTTTTGAGCCGAGAGAGAGCACGATGCAGTAAAATCGCCAGTGGAAAGTGGACGAGGGGAAGAGATGAGAACAGTATAGAGGAAGGAGCCGTTTTGTCTTTGGGATCTACAAAGGTTAACGGCTATTTTGACGTTGTTTTATTTTTCTTTTCTTGAAAAGCGCTCCTTTTACTTCTTCTTTTGTGGCCGGTCGGCTCTTTTTTATTTTTTTTCCCAATTGAACTTTCGAAAATAAAAGTCGGGTTTTTTCTCATTCAATTATTTATATTTTTTATTTTAAATTTTAAAATTTTTACAAAAAAAAAAAAAAAATCCCCTGGACTAACAGTTTTCAATTTTAAAATTTTAAAAGGGAAAATCTATTGGACTGTACTAGTAATATCAATTTTAATT